ACCCCCACCCCCTCCTGAGCCCCAACCCTTGGAATAACGTAACCTCTGGTTCGGGGCTGAGGGGGCTGGGCAAAGGGCTCCTGAGGCGTGTGGCGCCTGGAGCCGGGGAGGGACAGGAGTGACAGGTAGGACTTGGTTTGTGGGCCTGGGATTGGGTCGTTTTGGTCACACTGCCATGTGGGCGTGGCCACATCGGTCCCTGTGCAGGTAAAGTCCTGGGGAACCTGCAGCTGAACTTACTGAGCAAGTCCAAGGTGTATGAGGACCCAGCTCTGAGCGCCATCTTCCTGCACAACAACTACAACTACATCCTCAAGGCCCTGGAGAAGTAGGTGCTCGGGGCTGGCGTGCCCTCCGTGTGCCCAGTGGGAGGGCAGGGCTTTACTCCTCACGGCCCCAGGACCAGGGGTGTGTGTGCTGCCTTCTTAGAGCTCGTGAAGGTGGGGTGGGAAGGGCAGGCCCCCTGGAGCTGCTGCCCAGGCCCACAGCCAATCCCGTCCCCTCTACTCTGTCCACCCCGCCCCCCCAGGTCGGAGCTGATCCAGCTGGTGGCTGTGACCCAGAAGACTGCCGAGCGCTCCTACCGGGAGCACATCGAGCAGCAGATCCAGACCTACCAGCGCAGGTGCTCGCTGCCCTCCGCTCGCCCCACCCCTGTCCCCACCACTCACGCTCCCTTCTCAGTCTCAGGACACTGGGCCCCATCGGAGTGGGGTCAGTATCAGGGAACTGTTGCCCTGTGGACCCCAATCCTTCTCTTATGTTATAGTCAAATTCAGGGGGTGGCGATGGGAGCCCCCCCCCCCCTTGCTGGCTCCCTAGGGGGCCTCAGAGGGCAGAGAGCAGGCTGCCTGTGAAGCTAAGCGTAGTTGAAGGGCTGACGTCAACGTGAGCGACGTTTGGCCCAAGCGAAGAGCAGGCTGCAGGAGCACTTGGCCGTGGCTGCGCTCGCTCTGCAGAGCTGCCTCCTCTGCTGGGGCGTGTCTCCCTGTCCTTCCCCTGGAGGCCTCTTCCTCTCCCTTCCCAGTGTCTTCTCTGTCTTCGCTTGCCCGGAGGCTGACTGCGGTGGAGGTGATGGTACTCGCATTCGCTCAGTTTATTGACTGCTGTTTCCTGTTCCAGTTTTAAAAGCGAGCATCTCGAACACTTTCTATTCCCGAGGAGAAACCTCAGTTGTGCTTTGCTTAGTTGTGACCCAGATGGATTCCCTCCCTCCCCATACGGCTCAGTAGATGAAGAGATAAAAATAAAACAGAAAGCAAACAGCCCCAGGAAGCAGCAGCTGCCTGAGCCGCCCCTCTGCTTTCTCCCCCTGGCAGCTGGTTAAAGGTGACCGACTACATCACTGAGAAGAATCTGCCCGTGTTCCAGCCGGGAGTCAAGGTGGGCTGAGGGCCTGGGCGGGAAGGGTGTCTAGCAGGTGTCACCCTGTTTGTCATGCCTCTGGGAGAAAATGGACAGGAGTCCCTGTGGTGTGAGAGCAGGGATGCCTGTGGCCCTCGGAGCAGCAGGAGCGGGCTGGGCGCGGGCGCGGGGGGAGGGGCGGGCAGGCGCCTCTCTCTGAGGATCGCTGTCTCGGCCCCCAGCTCCGGGACAAGGAGCGGCAGGTGATCAAGGAGCGGTTTAAGGTGAGTCGGGACCCGTCCCCTCTGCTGCTGCTGCTGCTGCTGGAGCGACACACACCCGAACATTTGTCTCCGGGCCCTTCCCTTCCCACCTTGCTGGCGGCAGGGCTTCAATGACGGCCTGGAAGAATTGTGCAAGATCCAGAAGGCCTGGGCCATCCCCGACACGGAGCAGCGGGACAAGATCCGCCAGGCTCAGAAGCACATCGTCAAGGAGACC